AACGTTCACTGTCATTTTCGTTTTCGTTTTCGTTTTCACTTTCTATTTCTGTCTTTTACAAAGGAAAACATGAACCACAAAGGATTTCATAGTAGTGGCTTGTTTGATATGGAATATTAATGTTACATCCACAATCTCTTTTTATAAAATCTCTTCTTACAAATTTTTTTCACAATCTCTTTTCACAAAATCTCTTCTTACAAATTTTTTTTTCACAATCTCGATATGGTAGTTCACAATTGATCTGTTATAATTTATCAGATGAGATTCATTATTAGCTAACTAATTATGAGTTGTTATGTTAGGGTTGTGAGAAGAGTGGGTGTATCATTTTCCAATATATATATATAGAAAAGGTCTTATGAATAACGTGTTTCATAAAATGAGTTAAATGCTTTCAAACAAAATTTTGAATATAGTCTTGAAAACTAATGTACTATTTCAAAAGAAAAAATACTATTTCCAAAATACACATTTGTTTTCCTATTTTAAAAATATTATTATATTTTATTCAACTATTTTAAACTCTCTAAGTTTATTAATTTAACTAAACACCCCTTAAAAAAAAAGTTTAAAAATTAACAAAAACACCCCCATCCATCAACATTTGCTAGATTCCGACTACTATCGTCGGAAGGTGGCCGAAATTTCGTATAATAGCGCACTACCAGCTGGATCTGGCGGGTAGTGCGCTGATCTATCATTTACCGGTCAGATCTTTGGCTGTAGCTGGTCTTCAACGACAGCCAAGACATGACCGTTGTTGACCATCAACGATGGTCATATCTTTGGCTGTCGTTGACGACCAAACACGGCCAGATCTGGCTAGAAAATGCCATCTCGGTGCCGTAACGCCAGATTCCAGTGGTGGTGGCCAGAATCTGGCAATTGTGTGTGGTGGTGGTTTTTTTGTCATTTTATAAAAATTTTATATATTGGTGTATTAAGTTAAATTAGCAAACCTAGAGGGTTTTTTTATTAATTTTTAAATTCTACCTCGTAATAATCACTCAATTCTACCTACTAATAATATTTCAAAAATATTACTCAAAATAATAAAACAAACACATCCTTATTAATACTATATATGGGTCCGTTTGTTTAATTATTTTTATTGATTTTCAGTTGTTCATAGCTTCTAAGTGAAAATAGGTTTTGAATATTATATTAAACATATTTTTTAGATAACGCGTTATAATATTCCAAATTTTGGTTATGATATTCCAAATTTTGTCCCGTATTTTAATTTTTTAAAATAATTTTCGAATCATAAATCAAACAAAACCAAATTTCTTGTTTTAATTTACGAATTGATTTTTGAAAATGAAATTAATTTACTTAAATAAGAAATTTGGAATCGAGAATATTATAAAAGGAGGTTCATTTCATTTTTACCTTGTGAGATTATTTACTTGTTTTTTAATAATTTTATAAGGATTTTTTTCATATTTGTAAGGTTGTTTTTGATACTCTTTTAAGGCAATTTTTGATACCATAAGGAGGATTTTGGATGCTAATTAAGATAAATAATGAAAGAATTGTTTAATAACGACATATTAAATTATGTTTTTTTTTTTTTTTCATAATTTGATGTGATACAAAATATTCCCTGAAAATATGATTTTTAATAATGCCACTTTTTAGTTTATACTGCATTGCCATTAATAGTTATTAAAAAAAAGATGATGAGTCGTGGAGGCATTTGGCATCTCGATAGTTCCTTGCCAGTATAGAAAAGGGAGAACGACCTTTTCCCACTCAAGGTTTGGCGAAATAGCCCTTTCCCACCCTCCAAGTTTCAAAAAGACAGTTTCCCACCCAGCGTCTGTTAACTTTAAGTCTTTAACCGAAGAAAGATAAAACAGTGAATTCAAAAAACAGTTAAAGGGTTATTATGTCATTTTATCCCCTACATATAAACTTAAAAGAAAAACTAGAAACCCTTTACCCCAAAATCCTTTAACCCCAAAACCCATTGGCGATAGTGGATGGCTGAATCCAATTAAACCAGATCTCAAAGTTTTACAGCTGGAAAAATTAAAGATCACACCACCTTTGCTCATGCTAGAAGTTGTGGTGGATGCTGTTGTTGTTGTGGAGGTTGTAGATATTGCGTTTGATGTGGTAGCAATGGTGGTTGATTGTGGAGGCTGTGTCATTATAGTAGAGGATTTTGGGGCAGCGATGACAAAGGTTAGGGCACAAAAAGAAAGGGGGGTGGAGAATTTTGGGGCGGTGTGCTCAGAATTGTGCGCCCTAAAAGAATGTCTCAAGCATTGGAATAAAAATGTTTTTGGTGATGTTCATTCAAAAGAGGAGAAGGTCAGGTCGCTTCTTGCTCAGGTAGCTTTCCAATTCACAGATGCGTTATACTACTGAGGGTTTTGACTTTTGAGGAAGAAATTAAAGCTAAACAAAACCTGGTGGAAGCTCTTCAATATCAACATACTTTTTGGAGGGAGAAATCTTGGGTTTCTTGGTTAAAGATGGAGGTAGATGTTCCAAATACTTCTCTAATTGTGCAAAGATTAAACGTGCTAAATCTTTTATTCATGCCCTCTCTATTGATGATGTTTTAGTGGAAGATAAGCAAGGAAGAAAGAGAAACGGGGGATTGGGATTTTTTCTTTTTGGGAGGTGAAGAAATTGAAGATTTTTAAGTTACTCTCTCTTTTTTTTTTTTTTTTTTTTTTCAGTTTGGAGATGTGGATTTGGATTAAAGGGTATTTTCATCTTTATATTGATTATCAACAGATTTTACTAACGTTTCTTAACTATGGGTGGGAAAGTGTCATTTTGAAACTTAATGGGTGGAAAAGATGTTTCACCAAACGTAGTTCTCCCTATAGAAAATCTTTAAAATCTCTAGTGTCCCGTAATCCACTTGCCTTTTGCTTGTCCCATAATAAAATCAAAGATAGAGACAAACTTTTCTTTTAGGAAATTTGAGAGCTTGCGTAACGGCTTGTTCAATTGACTTATTAAATAAAATAAAGAGGATTTTATGCTACATTTAACTGTATTTCGGTAACAAACAAGGATTTTATGTGTATTATATATAGGTTTATTTCGTTTTCCTCCCTTAAAGATCGCATATTATTAATTCACTTATTACATTTAAAAAGTACTAAAATCGCCCCTATTAGAGTTTTTTTTCTCCGTAATCTTGTATAAGGGTATTTGATATTTTAAGGATGTCTTTTATTATTATAAGCTTTTAGGTTTTTTTTGTTTAATTAAAAGGGTATTTTTAATATTTTCTTAACGAAGTAAATGATTTTAATATTAGTATGTTAAAACTAATGTTTGATGGATAAAAGAGTATTTGAAATTAATAAAGATAAAACAAATTAGAAAATGAATTGACAATGTTTTTCTTTTTGTTTTTTGCATTAAAAAATTGATAAAAAATAGTAATAAAACAAAAAATCATCAAATTCACAATCATGATCAACGCTTACCCAATCAAAAACTATAACTATTACCAGACCGCAACCTTATTTCTTTAAACAACCAACCTTTTGGCCACAACTCTATATTACTCGCCCTTTGACCTTTCATCATGGTAGGATGTTGCCTCACCTAGCCACCAACTATACCAATAAGAAATCCACATTTATAGACAACTTGTATTGCTACCACAAGTGATCTCAACGACTTATTAAACGATGGTGAGCGAGGTCTCAATGTTTGAATGAGCGGTTTTCATGTTCGGCACATACCTTTAGGCTCGACTTTTGCCTACATCTGCCTACCTAAGCCACCAACATCAACCCATCTTGACCAACCAATCAGACATCGAGGCCTTACTCATTATGTTCATTACCCATCGACTAACTTTATTATTATGTTATATAGTTGGTAAATGATAAAAATGGTTTTATTTATAAATATAGTGTGGTGTTTGTTTATTATTTCAATAGCAATAACAATTAACAACCATAAAAAGCAGATTTGCTCAATCAATTAGGGTCATGGGGAAGGTTTCAATATGTTTGATAAACAGTAGGGGTGCCAAGGTATTTTAGAAACCTCAAGGACTCATTTTTTATTATAGATAATTGTGAGGTTTAAAAATTTTCCCTTAATAAAAGAGTTTTCTCGACCCAGGCTTAATCAAATAACAATTCCCTTTTTGGTAATAACATAAATCTCTTTATTGTTAGTAAGCCGTTAAACTACAATTAGAATTTATATAGTTATAGCTAATGGAAATTATTGTTATTAACTGCTTAATAAAAGATTATTATACATTATTAAAACATGGGTACCATTACTTGTATATGACCCTTTCAATAGTACATGAACTTATAAATTATAATTATATAGTTGACAACTTAAATAATATGTAATAATTTTTAGAAATTAATATATTATAGTAACAAATAAGGGTATAATAATTTTTTTAATAATATAATAAATATTATTATAAATGATTTAAACATGAAAAAAAATACTACATTATTGAGTCATCGTTTTTTCTTATTACAATATTTTTTCGAATGCCATAAATAAAATTAATATTAATTTCCATTATAAAATTTTTTGTATACTATCTTATGAATGTACAGTTCTAATATTCCCAAAGTTTAATTTATTTTAATAATTTATATTAATTTTATAGAATATTTTCATATAAAGAAATTTGACAACCCTTGGAATTATAAATAATTAAATATTTAGAAACTTTCAAAATAAGTTAGTTATGATGAAGAAATTAGTTTTAATTATCGACTTTGAAATGGTGTAATAATTTACTGTTTAACATCACCCTAACATATATGTAATCAACGGCTAAGATTCACCGACTCCTGACAAAGCAGGAATCCCCGCCGCATAGAATCCGCTCCATGAGAATCCCTCCGGCCCAGTGAGGATCAAACCAAATTGACCAAAACACCCCCGCTTCGCCCGTCTACTTCTTCGTTTCCTTGAGCAACTCCGTACTCACCTTCGAATCTTCAAAACCGATCTGTCCTCTTTCGTCCATCCACAATTTCACTCTCTCCCTCTCTCTCTCACTTCACTAAAATTATTTAAAAAACAAAAAAACAAAATAAAAAAACAAGAAAACAGAAAACAGAAAACACGGACACAGAGAAGAGAATAGAGCTCTTGTGATTTGCTTTGTAGAGAGATGGCGTTCGTTCATTAAAACGACACTCCGTTTTATGCCTCCAGGTTCTTTCTCGAACCTTCTCTCGCATTTTCCGATTTTGAATTTTGAAAATTTCGCTATTTGTTAGGGTTTTTGATCTTTTTTTTTTTTTGAAATTTGAAATTTAAATTTCGTTTCTAGTCTGCGATGCTTGTGAGTTTGTTTCTTCTGCGTAATATTTATTTATTTATTTTAATTAATTTTGGATTTTAAACTGTTCTATTAGCTTTAACTAGCTCTGTTTGGTTGCGGATAATAGTGAAAGAAAGTGACAATGAATTAATGTTTAGCTAAGAAAATGAAATTTTGAACTGCTTATTATTATTATTAATTAATTAATTAATTAATTAATGATCAAGTCTTGTTATGGTGCAAAAGCTTAGAGACTGAGACTTTGAACTGATTTTGAATTGTTAATGCGTATTTTTGGAGCCGAACGTGATGGAATTTAATTGATTTATGCGTTAATAGACTTGTTTAAAACAGAAATGGAATATGGAATCGAGTGGACTTGATTCCTGTGTCAATTGAATTTTATTCGGAATTGAAATGGAAATGATCCTGATTGCTGATGTAAATTTCGAAATGAAGTGAAATTAGAAGTGTGAAGAGTTATTTTGGCTGTAGAATTCGTGTAAATCAATTGTAATTAAATTGAATTTGATTAGATGTTGATAAGAAAGCGTCTGGTTGTTAATTTGTCTCCGTTTATTTAATTGTTTCTTTCCTTCTGCTATTAAATGTGTTATTGAATTTAGTGCTGGTTACACTATCTTAGTGTTCTCATGTTTTCGTGTTCTGGTTCATTTGTTCACTCATAGGATCAGAATGGACTATTCTTTGGGTGGTGAGGGGCCTGCTGTACTGCAGTTGCGCAAGTGGGACCCCTCCCAGTTCCAGTTCAACCTGTCAGAATTTCGTGAAGCCTTTATTTCTCCAACAAGGGAGCTGTTATTATTGCTCTCATATCAGTGTGAAGCATTACTGCTACCACTGGTTACAGGTGAATATTCTCGTCTCATTATTATTTTCTTTAATGGTGCTATGAATATTGTGGATTGCCAGCATTTAAGTTTGTATTTTTGGTGAATGATTACTTGTTCATGCATGTTTTTACCTCATTTGGCTGAGCTACCATTATCATTTCATTTATTTGGGATGCAATATTTGATATATTTGTGTTTCATATTCTTGTTTGCAGGGTACTCTATAGATAGGAACATTACAGAAAATTGTTTTGATGAAAGTCTTCGAGATCCATGTTCATCTGCTCTAAGTAGGTCAGATTCAAAGGATAATACCCCATGCCCTTCTGGATCAGTAATGGATTTTGATAATGGTTTTTCTCTTGATCGTAATTTTTCAAGATCTAATAATTACCCTTTTGTTTGTGATGTAAACTCACTGGCTTGGGGTGTATGTGGGGATACGTATAATCAGCACAAGGATGCCTCATTTAGAGAGCTTCTTTTTGTTTCGAGTGACCAGCGTGTGACAGTCCATGCTTTCTGTTGTCCGAATGATACTAGTTCAACGACCAGGCAGGGGGACTTTGAGCAAGGTAGGTGGGTGGATTGGGGGCCTTCTTCTGCATCAGTACATAATACATTGGCAGAGGAGGCTTCTAGTTTGTCTTGTGAAGGCACTGGAAATGTTGGGGATGAATTTGTGACCAATGGAAGTAGTGAGAGTTCACAGAGTATATACAAAGAGGCAGGGGATGATGGGTCATCAAGAAGTGTTGGTTCAAGGAGGTGGCTGCGTTCTTTTTTCACCAAAGCTGAAATGATCCAATCTGATGGTAAGATTTGGACTAGGTTTCCAGAGAGGTCATCATTTCCTTGCTCTGCGAAGGTTATTTCATTTACCATTCTAGATAGTAATTTACCACTTTTGCAAGTCCCTACTCAAGGAAACTCTGTGGCAGTTAAAGAGAACATACAAGATACTGGTTTGGATTTGCCTACAAATTCTCATTTGGCTTCAACTAGTCTAAATTTTCAGTCTGATGTATTGCCCAATTATCTAGGTATTGACATTAACAGTTCATACAAATGTATTAGAGTTTTTTCCAGCAATTCTCATTACTTAATTGGATTCTTTTTGACACTGGTGAATCCATTTTCTGTCAATATTGGTAGTGAAAGTGAGAGAAGTAGGGGGAAAAATATACTTCTTGTTGCGAGGTTAAATAGTTGGGGAATCCAGTGGGTTTCTGCTGTGAAGTTAGAGGAAAGTTTAAATATAGGTTTGGTATCTGACTGGACGGACTTCTGCTTTTCTGATAATCTTCTTGTTTGCCTCAACTCTAGTGGTGTAATCTTTTTATATGATGCTATATCCGGTGACCGTGTGGCACATGTTGATATTTTACGTACTTGTGTGCTTGACCCACGCTCAAATTTGCATGAGCAAGAAAAATTGCATGTTGGTGCTGATGTGCAAATGAAGCAAGCTGATGAAGTTCATGAATTGTCAACTTATCGACAAGGTGGTCTCTTGGGTGGAAGAATGTTTAAACGGGTGATTGTTGCTTCACATACCTCCCTCTTAGCTGTGGTTGATGAATATGGTGTCATATACGTTATACATGTTGGTGATCATATACTTGAAAAGTATAACATATCTGTGAAATTGCTTCCACATTTCCAGCATTTGGGGCTTGGGACGTTGGTTGGTTGGGAGGCTGGTGGTTCTGATATTGGCCACCAATGGGTGTATTCTAATACATCAAGTTCTCGTTGTCATAGATTAGATATTTCATCTGAAAGGAACAGGAATGTTTCTTTATCTGACAATATCAGAAATACTTTGCTTCATGAATGCCAACACCAAAATGTGCGTAGAAACGGTGGGCAGTGTGACTTGTGTTTGAGTGGATTTTCTGCTACATCAAAGATGAGTTGCCAGTGTTTTCATGATTCTGATGTACGGTATCACCTTGTGAGAAACATCTTTCTTCCCACAGATAGGTTTAGTGTGGATGATTGTATCTTTTTTTCACCTTTAGGAATCACTCGACTGACCAAAAGGCATAATATTGAGGGGCAAGAGAGTGCCAAAATTGTTCACCTTGATCTGCATACAGATTCAGCAGTTCGTGATGACAGTTACTTGAATCCTGGGTCTGAAATGTTTTATCTACAGGGGAGGAAAGAATCTTCTGTTGGAAAAGCAGTTGGTTGCACTTTTCAGGGTTGTTTTTATTTGGTAACTGAGGATGGGCTTTCAGTAGTTCTCCCTGCTGTTTCAGTTCCATCAAACTTCCTCCCTGTTGAAACGATTGGCTATCGGCAATCACGTATGAAGACAGATGTGGTATGCCAAGAAAGAAGCAATTTGGAAATGAAAGAATCAAAACAGCCTTGGTCACCTTGGAAGGTCGAAATTTTGGATAGAGTTATTCTGTATGAAGGCCCTGAAGAGGCAGATCGCTTATGTGTGGAAAATGGTGAGAATAATTATTAAGCCTTTTGTATTAAATATCTATGATTTGATGTCTAGAAATATGTATAGGATTAATTCTTTGATTTCTCAGCTGTGATCTGGTAATTCTTTTATTTTTTGATAAAACACAAAAAAATTCATTTAAGAAAAAATGATTTACAAATAGGTGGATCAATAGTTTACTAAATAAATGACAGAACAGACAAGACTGTGGAGTTCAGAAAGTCCAATCCTTTTTTAATGAAAGAAAAAAATCCACATAAATTGCTCTCAAGAATGTTAAATATTTGTGAATGGAGCCATAGACAGTCATGTAAAAATATTCATGTTATGCAAACGAGGTTGGAATTACTTGCATGGTGTTTGGGAAGCCTGAAGTAGGACTAGGAGTTCGAATAAGAGAAAGTTTGGGTATGGAATAGTCAATCTGCACGTTAAAATTTCTGTAATTTGGATTTTGGAATAATGGTTTTTGCCTTGCCCATTAAAGTTTTCAAACCTATGCATAATAGCTTAGACCTTTTCTGGGAAAGGAAATTTTATGGGAGAAGCATGTGTATTGTGAACTTATAGAAGTATCTTGTAGGGATATTGAACATATCTAGATTGCACGATTGCTAACAAAAAAACAATTATATGAAGTAGGTTTGTAGTTGGCCATTGGATAATTGTTTAGTTGCATTTCTTGGCATGAGGGAGCTACCATTGTATTCACTTTTTTTTGATTTATTATATGTTTTAGTGGTAAGGGTTGTGGCAAATAGTGTACCTATTTTTTTTTGCGTTTCAACATAAATTTTTGTTTCTTATCCTTTACCATATGAAGTCCTTGTTGAATAATTTACACTTTAATTAGCTGGTGATCTAAAAGTTTATCTTTGACTATGACATTTCAACTATTCATTTGTTGATTTTTGACACTATGAAATCCTTTGACCTTTCTTGTGTTCACTGAGTCCTGAACTTGGAGCAACTTCCAGACCCTATAAACTTGGTAGTCAGGAAACTTGTGGGATATAATTATTATCAAAGTAGGTGGACCAGGATACTTGAAACCAAGGGTTATAACCACTTAACTGAACCTTTAGGGTTTTTTCAACTATTCATGTTGTATGCCAGCTCTACAGAAGGTGGAACTGCTGAAACTTGAAGTATTGCATTCTTGCGATAGTGTTTCAATTTCTGTCCGTCTTAATTTTAAATGGGTTATTGTGAGGGTTATCAAGTGCAATGAAGAATACCATTCCGACTTTACTTTCTAGTCTTGATTAGCCCTTTATTAAATCTATATTGTTTGTGAGAATTCACATCCAATAAGTCCAAATTGCTCTAAGGAATGCCTCCCATACTGCATTGCTGCCAGTTTTTCCTTTCTGACATTATAGTTTGATACATACTGTGGCTTTTTCACAGATATGCTGCAATTTGAAGCACATTTTCTCAATGTAATTTTGACATGTGAATTACTGCAATGTCAGGGTGGGAGCTGAAAATTTCTCGGACGCGTCAACTGCAAATGTCATTAGAATACTTGAAGTTTGACGAAATTCAGCAGTAAGATCATATATGTGTGCATACACAACACTCACACTTACACATGGATGTATATTTGCGTATGTGTATATATATGTACCTTTTCTGTAATTGCTTTTATGCTTGGGAAAGGGGGGATAATTGTGTAAATTTTGTTATTATGTAAGGATATGACATCATGGTAGACATATACCAAAACATTTCCTTCTGTTGAGTGGTCTAGATATAATTGCAATTGAATTAGAGATGCATCCATTTGTGATTAAATTGGAAATTTATTAATTATTGGCTTCTTAAATCATGTTTATTCTGGAATAACTTTTATAGATGACTGCAAACAACTTTTTTCGATACCTAGTTTCTTGTTAGGAATAAGATTTTTAGTTGTTTTCTGAGTTATTGTCTTGATATTTGTTCTAGTTGATATTACTATTTCTACTCTATATATTTGCTTCTTTAGGAAGAGTTTTTGACTAATAATTGAAATGTTTTTTATCCTTAAAAGGTTGACCAAAATTTCATGTGACAGGATGTACATGTTCACTCTATAATTTGACCTAGTAAATTGAATTATTGAATTATTATAGGCTTTGAATTGCCTCATGCAGTTAGATCAGGATTTCTGAATAACTTGCTTCAACAAAATTTCTTAATTAATAAAGTATTATTTGATAGAAGATGGGAGGGGGAGTGAGGTGGAAGAGGGCAAGTGAGACTTGAACATCTCATCTTGTCGTTCTGTGATGATGCAAACTTCTCCTTCCTACCCCTTTCGAATGACCAACAACTTGGAAGTGATTGTAGAGATGTCTTCTGGTTCAGAAGATGAGAGAAGAATACTGGTCCTGTCTTCTAAAATTTTAAGCATCCCTCTATTATTTCTATGATAAAAGGTTAAATAAAATAAATTTTCAGTACTCAAATGGGTGAATCAGAAGCCCTTTAGAAAAAAAAAAAAAAATGAATTCAACAACTGCACTACTTAAAAAAATTAAAGATACAACAGTTGCTCAATCCCTTTGAACGTATATGTGTGTGTGTATATATAGAAATTCCTCATACTGCTTTGTAACCAATGCCCCCAATGAAGCTCGAGTATTGACTCTTTTTCCCATACAATCTCTAGGTTTTCATCCTTCCTCAAATATCCTTATTCCATAGAATCTCTATTATGTATGATACTAGTATCTGATTTTGGAAGAGCTTGTGTTTGATGGATCAAATTGATGTACTATACTAGTATCTGATTGTGGAACAGCTTGTGTTTGATGGATCAAATTGAGGTATAGGTCTGTTGACAATACATGGACTGGATTAATATTATTTCTTGCCTGTTTTGTGATCCAAAAATAATTTTAAAAACTAAGATACAATTAGAAAATGTACGCTATATCTCAATATGTTTAATGTCTAAAAGCATGTTTGATATAATTTTCAAAAACTGTTTCCAAAGTTGAAAAAATCTAGAACTTCTTTTTTGTTTTCTGATTTTACAGTAGTTTTCAGGATTGTACTGGATAACTTTTATTAAACATTTAAATGCATTTCAACCAAACACAGTTTTTATAAAATTTATTGTATCCCCTGTCTTCAAAAAACTGGGGCTTAAATTCTGTGTCAAACCGGCTCTTATTTTCTTTGTTTTGGTCAATGCATAGATCTTTAGAAATGCTTGTGGAGGTTGATCTGGTGGAAGAAGGCATTCTGAGATTACTCTTTGCTGCTGTTTATCTGATGTCTCATAAAAATGGCAATGGCAATGGCAATGACAATGAGGTATCTTCTGCATCAAGGTAAATATCTTATCTCTTAGCATTTCACAAATGGGAGCTCTTGAGGAATAAGATTAATGTAGCTTAGTTAACATAAATGCTACTTCATTTATGTAAAAATATCTTATCTCTTAGTTTTTTTGGTTCCTTTCAATTAGGCTGTTCAACTTGACAGACAAGGGCTTGGTTTGATATCTTTTTTGCTGATTATGAAGGGCTTGATTAGATGTTATGACATTTTAACCCATTGGAATCCATCTTTTGCCATGTGGAAATTTGGATTATCTTTGATAACCAGAAATTAAAAAGTTTACTTAGAATTTCGAAATACATGTTAAAAAGAATTGCTGGTNAAAAAAAAAATTAAAGATACAACAGTTGCTCAATCCCTTTGAACGTATATGTGTGTGTGTATATATAGAAATTCCTCATACTGCTTTGTAACCAATGCCCCCAATGAAGCTCGAGTATTGACTCTTTTTCCCATACAATCTCTAGGTTTTCATCCTTCCTCAAATATCCTTATTCCATAGAATCTCTATTATGTATGATACTAGTATCTGATTTTGGAAGAGCTTGTGTTTGATGGATCAAATTGATGTACTATACTAGTATCTGATTGTGGAACAGCTTGTGTTTGATGGATCAAATTGAGGTATAGGTCTGTTGACAATACATGGACTGGATTAATATTATTTCTTGCCTGTTTTGTGATCCAAAAATAATTTTAAAAACTAAGATACAATTAGAAAATGTACGCTATATCTCAATATGTTTAATGTCTAAAAGCATGTTTGATATAATTTTCAAAAACTGTTTCCAAAGTTGAAAAAATCTAGAACTTCTTTTTTGTTTTCTGATTTTACAGTAGTTTTCAGGATTGTACTGGATAACTTTTATTAAACATTTAAATGCATTTCAACCAAACACAGTTTTTATAAAATTTATTGTATCCCCTGTCTTCAAAAAACTGGGGCTTAAATTCTGTGTCAAACCGGCTCTTATTTTCTTTGTTTTGGTCAATGCATAGATCTTTAGAAATGCTTGTGGAGGTTGATCTGGTGGAAGAAGGCATTCTGAGATTACTCTTTGCTGCTGTTTATCTGATGTCTCATAAAAATGGCAATGGCAATGGCAATGACAATGAGGTATCTTCTGCATCAAGGTAAATATCTTATCTCTTAGCATTTCACAAATGGGAGCTCTTGAGGAATAAGATTAATGTAGCTTAGTTAACATAAATGCTACTTCATTTATGTAAAAATATCTTATCTCTTAGTTTTTTTGGTTCCTTTCAAGTAGGCTGTTCAACTTGACAGACAAGGGCTTGGTTTGATATCTTTTTTGCTGATTATGAAGGGCTTGATTAGATGTTATGACATTTTAACCCATTGGAATCCATCTTTTGCCATGTGGAAATTTGGATTATCTTTGATAACCAGAAATTAAAAAGTTTACTTAGAATTTCGAAATACATGTTAAAAAGAATTGCTGGTTGGAGGTCTGCATGTAATAAATTCAATTTTGTCTCCTTTTTTGATTAGTTTGTCATTAATTGCATGCATGTTGTATTTTATATTAGTTTTACGAAAATTGTCACTGTGTTTGGATCTTTATTTAACACTTACATTCACGATGTAATTTTAATTTTTGGTGCACATCAGAATCTCAGAAGAATATTCTTCGAGTCCCTATTTTAACTTGGCTCTTTTTTCTTTTTATTTTCATATGAGTAAAAATTGAAAAAGAAAAAAGAGCCAAGCTTAAATAGGGACTCGAAGATAGAGACACTCACATACACATAAAGAAACTTGGTGTGGTCTAAGTCTCAATGTTGGACCTCATGTCAATTTGTCATCATATAGATCTAATTACATAAAAGCCATTGAAGAATATAAAGTTTCAGCTTATATGTTTGATGCTCATTAGGGTCTTCTTTCAAATCTTGAGTCAAGTTATCTGATTCACAGAAACCTTGTTGGGTCACTTATTCTTTGAACATCAAGTTGGGTTAATGGGTTTATTTGTATCTAGGGCCAGCTTGGTAGATAGCTTGACTTATGAAACTTATATAGATCCTTGCTCTGCATCAGAAACTGGACGAATATGGGACTTCTCTTAGAACCAAAGCAGTGTGGCACACTTCTCTTTAATCCCTGCCTCCAGTCAGTTTGATAGAATGTTTGACGAAAAGTTTTTATGTGTCACTGGGACATTGGTGGAATTTTAAATGATTGTCAGCTCCTAGCAAAGGAAACTGGAACATGAATGTTTTACTCGAAGAGGTGTTTGACAAGAATACTTGGTGTGTTATCTGATGTTTGATTATTCTTAATAAAAATATGAATCATTTTAAACTAGGTTTCTCTGTGGAACCTTTTTCATGTCTTTCACTTTCTTATGATTTTTCTTTTTGCATATACTTGAAATTTGTCATTGAATTGGAAATTGCCAATCTTTGGATTTTGAATCCACACGTTATTGATTTGTCTACAATGTTTTTGGCTCTCTCTTTATTTTTAATTTATGGAAACCTGTATTCAGTAAGGTTTTCTTTTTTCAGCTTCTTTACTCTTTTTCAGGCCAATATTCTCTTGGTAAATAAGTAGATGCATCTACTTCATCAGCATCTATGAGCTAGTAAGATTTATGTAGCTCCTTGATTATAACATTGTGGTCCACATTTACTATGATGAATCTGGAATCTGTTTGATTTGGAAATAATCAATTAGAGAATGCTGATATTCCATGATTTGGCTGAATATTATTATTGGATAGTATCTATTAATCTTAGCAGTTTGTCCATGGTACAGAATAGTAAGGTATATGATTTTGAATGTCAATCAACTATGATTGTTATATTTTAAATCAGTGTTGTAAGTGAAATAATTGCTGTAATGATTTTGGTTGGAATGTATCTATCTCAATGTTCTTTTTTTTTTTTTTTTTTACTTTATGTATAACTGTTCGCGATCTTCTGTGCTACAGGCTTCTTATGTTAGCTTCCTGCTTTGCAACCAAAATGATTCGCAAGTATGGATTACAACTGCATAAAGATGATGCATACTTTCTGAAGGGCTTAAACGGAATGAAGTTACTTTCTCTTCCATCAACTTTAGTGGATGAAGAACAAAATGATGCAAAAACTTCTAGGAGGATTTCTGAGATGGCTCACTTTTTGGAGGTTATTCGAAATTTGCAGTGTCGACTGAGTGCAAAATTTAAAAAGCCGGGCCAAGGACTGGTACGTTGTTATTTGATTTTGCTACAGCTCATGCCACGGTTCGTCTTGCATGTTATTGTTAAAATTGAAGCAATGTCTTTGCACTTTGGTGCAGGTGGATTGTGGGGGGGCATTAAGCTTGGCGGAGCCAAACTTATCAGAGAATGAATCTCGGCTGTCGATAGTTTCAGCAAAAGCAGTATCCTTGGAAACCTCAAATGAAAATGAACTGTCATTTTCTTTGTCTACCCAGGGTTCTAAGGATACTGAGAAGCTTGCTTTGGTGCCCAAAGATTTCATGAATTCTAAAGCTGAGTTTGATTTAGAAGATTCTGGTGAAGCATCTGTTCATGTGTCTCCAGGGGCACTTTTGAGAAGGACAACACTTCCCTTGGAAAATCCCAAGGATATGATTGCACGTTGGAAATTGGATAACTTGGACCTGAAAACTGTAGTCAGTGATGCTCTACTCTCTGGTCGTCTCCCTTTAGCAGTTCTTCAGTTGCATCTTCATCGTTCAACAGAACTTGCTACTGAGGAAGAGCATCATGATACCTTCACTGAAGTTCGTGACATTGGAAGAGCTATTGCTTATGATTTATTTTTGAAGGTAGCTATTGTTGGTTCTTAAACAAAACTAAGGTTATTTGTATTTCTGCACTGATTTTACATGGACAATAGGGTGAAACTGCGCTTGCTGTAGCAACATTGCAAAGGCTTGGGGAGGACATTGAAGTCTGCCTTAAACAGTTGGTATTCGGCACAGTGAGGAGATCTCTACGAATGCAAGTTGCTGAGGAGATGAGAAGATACGGTTACTTGGGACCACATGACTGGAAGATGTTGGAGAGGATATCACTCATTGAGGTATGAAGGATTTTTAATTTTTTTTGTTTCAAGATAACATTCTGTGATTTTAAGTTCCATTATCTGACAAATTTTCTCCCTCTCTCCTCTCTCGTTGTACTGGAAAAGAGACTCTATCCTAGTAGTAGTTTCTGGAGAACTTTTCGTGGCCGGCAAAAGGAATTCACAGAAGCCACATCAACTCTAAATTCTCCAGGAGGAGTATATTTGCAACTTTTGAATTCACATTTATTTGGCAATCTTGTCATTGAGTGTGGCGAGATTGACGGAGTTGTCTTGGGTTCATGGACAAATGTCAATGAAAGTTCGTCTAAGCCTGTGATTGATGAAGATAATGCTCATGCTGGATATTGGGCTGCTGCTGCAGTGTGGTCTAATGCATGGGATCAGAGAACCGTTGATCGTGTAAGTGACTACTTTCTTTGTGTCTGAACATTTCAAAAGATGCGTCATATTGTGCTGAAACTGGAGTTGAAGGAAAATGTATTGTTGTCTTAGGATAGGATGTGGTGTCCACTTTGAGGTTCCAATCCACTATCTTTTATAGACACTGCATTATTTTCCTCTTAATGAGAACTGAAAAATTGCAAAATGTAGTGTGTCGCGTGTATCAATCTTTATTTTTTGTATGTTTAATTGAAGTATGTTAGGACTTAGGATTAGTTAGGAGGTTTCCATTTTTGCTCTTCCCTTGTGTGGTCCTGTCTAAAGCAAAATACTGTTATTCTCTTGACGCTTTTAAAGTGGTAGATGTTCTTCATTATGAATATCAGATACCTGCTATCTGAAGCATATCTGTGATCATCCTTTATATAAACACTTTGTCATCTTTCTTGCTGTTCACTTTTGTCTAGAATTCTCTCTCCTACCTTTTTTAGGTTTGAAAGTTAACTGTGTCTCAGTGAACTCATGGCTGTCAACCCAGCTAGATAGTTAGATATAAAATTGAGATAGTTTATATCTTTATTTTAATACCATGGGTTGTGTTATTCCTCTTCTTGCTCATTCTCAGATATATCACGTTAGAGCTATATACTACTAATGCATATTTGTTGGTTATGTTTCATTCATTACAATTTATTTCCATGTCTCTGAGGCTTTTCAATTGAGATATGGGCCTGTAAATTTCTCAATAAATGTTTCTCTATGCAGATAGTGCTGGATCAACCTTTTCTTATGGGTGTTCACGTATTATGGGAATCACAACTGGAGTACCACTTATACCATAATGACTGGGAAGAAGTTTCCAAACTTCTGGACATTATTCCTAAATCTGTGCTATCAGATGGAAGCCTACAGATTGCTTTGGATGGTTCACAGCCTGCTTCAACTATCGGTAGTAATAGTGAATTTCCTGACTATGGCAATTACATATGCTCTATAGAAGAACTGGATGCTGGTTGTGTGGAAGTGCCAGATATCAAAATATTTAGGTTATCTGCTAATATTATGTGCTCCATGTGGTTAAGGAGGCTCATGGAGCAGGAGCTAGCTAGGAAATTTATTTTTTTGAAGGAATACTGGGAAGGCACTGCAGAAATTGTAGCTCTTCTGGCCTGTTCAGGCTTCATTACTAGCAGAAATAAAATTTCATCTGAGGATGATTCTATTGAGAATTTATCAGATATTGTTGGAAGATCTTCTGTTGGTACCATTCAAGCTTTACATAAATTACTTATGTATCACTGTGCGCAACAGAACTTGCCAAATCTTTTGGATCTTTACCTTGATTATCACAAGTTGGTTCTAGATAGCAATTCACTTCATTCATTACAAGAAGCTGCTGTAAGTTTTCATTTCTGTCATCTGTGTTCTGCTGTAGTTTTCATTTCTATCATCCATGTTCATCACACTTTGTTCTCTCTGATATTGCAACATGTTTTGCTAATGTTTTGTATGGTACAATCTATACTATACATTATTTGTATACTTTTAATATCTAGTATACTGTAACATTTTTTGTATAAATCTAATATATTTTGCGCTCTTACCTTTGTCTTTGTTTTATTGGATACATCTGTTCAGGGAGATTGTCACTGGGCAAGATGGTTACTCTTATCTAGGATTAAGGGGCGCGAATATGATGCATCATTTTTTAATGCTCGTGCTATAATGTCACATAATTTAGTTTCTGGTAACAACTTAAGTGTCCTAGAGATCGATGACATAATTTGTACTGTTGATGACATTGCGGAAGGAGGGTGGGAAATGGCTGCTTTAGCAACTCTAATGTATGCCCCTGCTCCAATTCAAAGCTGTTTAAGTAGTGGTGGTGTAAACAGGCGTAGTAGTTCTTCAGCCCAGTGCACATTGGAGAACTTGAGACCCGCTTTACAACAGTTCCCTACATTGTGGCGCATGCTTGTAGCTGCATGTTTCGGACATGATACAGTTTGCGCTTTTGTAGGCCCTAAAGTGAAGAATGGTAAGCTTTTGACCTCTTATTTTCTTTTGGTTCTTTGGATTCGATTTGTATAACATTGTTTTTTTTTCACTTTATTTGGTAATTCAGCTTTATCAGACTACCTAAATTGGCGTGATACCATCTTCTTCTCTTCTGGACGTGATACTTCTCTTTCCCAAATTCTGCCGTGCTGGTTTCCTAAGGCCATAAGGAGGTTAATTCAGCTTTTTGTTCAGGTATGCATTTTAATCTCTTCTTAAGACGCTATTGAGATTTGCTATGCGATTTTCCTTCTCAAGGTTCTTGTCTAACTTATGGTCAAATAGAGGTATGATATAAGCTTTTCTTTGAGACAAAGTCTTGATCTTACAAAGCTTATGTTAATACTTGTAAGTAGTTTAATCTGTTCCATTTTACTGATCTTTGCCGTCGTTATTACCATTGTAATATATGTATCAAGGGTCATTTTTTATTTTAAACTTTTTATTAATAAATTGTGACAGAAGTTGTAAACCATCATTCAAAGAACTTTCAACGGTTGAGATTAAATTTGACATGCATCATTCCTAAGGTGTATCAATTATGTGTGTCAATATTATATCACTGTTGAAACTGTTTTGATCTAATCTTCCACTAAATGTGACATTTTGTGTGGAAAATAAGGTTTCCAATATATTTATATATTATCTGCCTGGACATTAATGATTTTGTTTGCATGTGATTGCAGGGTCCTGTTGGATGGCAAGCACTTCCAGATCTGCCTACAGAATCTTCACTAGATAGAGACATTGAATTTTTCATAAATGCCCATGGGCATGCTGAGGTTAGTGCTATCTCATGGGAAGCAACTATCCAGAAGCATATTGAAGAGGAACTTTATGACTCCTCACTCCAGGTATGTGCTTTTTTTTTCAAGGCAATCATTTCATTCGAAATGTAATAATTATAAGCTGTTGACTGAAATAATATTTTTGGCTTTATGAGATTCTTTCATAGCATTCTCTTTTGCCTGGGTTACTATTTGTCGCAATTTAAGTAGCAATATTATTAGTTTGGTTACAATTGATCTTCTTACTTGTTGATAAGAAACTTCATACAATTTTATGATTCTAAAAGTCTATTAATGAAAGCAGTCCACACTAAGGTGGAGAGACTAACTTACAAAATAGGCCAAAGATTCATAATCCATGAGAAGACCCTAAAATAGATATCCCGGAAAAAATGAAGAAATATTTATTGGGCTAATCTATGTCAAACAACTGTTGCCTTACAATTAAACTATTTATAGTGAATAAAAAGAAAGAAAGTTCTCTAAATTCTACAGAGACAAAAGTACAAGGAGAAGCCTAAATTTTTGTTTTCATAACATCAAAACCTCTTCTCCTGATTGTCTATTTCTCTCATTCCGTATTGCACATAATAAGGCCATCACTTGACAGTCTGACAAAACATAGGCTTCTTTCCTCCCCAAAAACCGTTATGCCTTCCCGTTGTGACAGAAAAGTTGGACAGGCACAACCCATGAAATTTTAATGTTTGAAAATGCACTGAATCAGAGATGTAAGGCAATGGAGAGGTGCAAGAAAGATGATTAATGCTCTCGACTTCTCTTTTTGCACATAATGCACCTTTGATGATATAAACACAATGTCGGTATTCCCCTTGTAGTGGTGTCCTTAGTGTTTAGCTTTCCTTATTCAAAGATTCAAGGTTGAAATTTACCTTGAAAGGAACTCCTATGTGTATAAAACTTCTTAATTGTGTCATGATATCTTATCAAGTGATTCTGAAGAGAGTGGGAGACTCATTCTCTATTGTAAAGGACATGGTTCTATGTTATGTGTCGTAATAGTGAATTTCCTGACTATGGCAATTACATATGCTCTATAGAAGAACTGGATGCTGGTTGTGTGGAAGTGCCAGATATCAAAATATTTAGGTTATCTGCTAATGCTTATGTGCTCCATGTGGTTAAGGAGGCTCATGAGCAGGAGCTAGCTAGGAAATTTATTTTTTTGAAGGAATACTGGAAGGCACTGCAGAAATTGTAACTCTTCTGGCCTGTTCAGGTTCATTACTAGCAGAAATAAAATCTCATCTGAGGATGATTCTATTGAGAATTTATCAGATATTGTTGGAAGATCTTCTGTTGGTACCATTCAGCTTTACATATTACTTATGTATCACTGTGCGCAACAGAACTTGCCAAATCTTTTGGATCTTTACCTTGATTATCACAAGTTGGTTTTTTTTTTTTTTTTTTTTACTTTATGTATAACTGTTCGCGATCTTCTGTGCTACAGGCTTCTTACGTTAGCTTCCTGCTTTGCAACCAAAATGATTCGCAAGTATGGATTACAACTGCATAAAGATGATGCATACTTTCTGAAGGGCTTAAACGGAATGAAGTTACTTTCTCTTCCATCAACTTTAGTGGATGAAGAACAAAATGATGCAAAAACTTCTAGGAGGATTTCTGAGATGGCTCACTTTTTGGAGGTTATTCGAAATTTGCAGTGTCGACTGAGTGCAAAATTTAAAAAGCCGGGCCAAGGACTGGTACGTTGTTATTTGATTTTGCTACAGCTCATGCCACGGTTCGTCTTGCATGTTATTGTTAAAATTGAAGCAATGTCTTTGCACTTTGGTGCAGGTGGATTGTGGGGGGGCATTAAGCTTGGCGGAGCCAAACTTATCAGAGAATGAATCTCGGCTGTCGATAGTTTCAGCAAAAGCAGTATCCTTGGAAACCTCAAATGAAAATGAACTGTCATTTTCTTTGTCTACCCAGGGTTCTAAGGATACTGAGAAGCTTGCTTTGGTGCCCAAAGATTTCATGAATTCTAAAGCTGAGTTTGATTTAGAAGATTCTGGTGAAGCATCTGTTCATGTGTCTCCAGGGGCACTTTTGAGAAGGACAACACTTCCCTTGGAAAATCCCAAGGATATGATTGCACGTTGGAAATTGGATAACTTGGACCTGAAAACTGTAGTCAGTGATGCTCTACTCTCTGGTCGTCTCCCTTTAGCAGTTCTTCAGTTGCATCTTCATCGTTCAACAGAACTTGCTACTGAGGAAGAGCATCATGATACCTTCACTGAAGTTCGTGACATTGGAAGAGCTATTGCTTATGATTTATTTTTGAAGGTAGCTATTGTTGGTTCTTAAACAAAACTAAGGTTATTTGTATTTCTGCACTGATTTTACATGGACAATAGGGTGAAACTGCGCTTGCTGTAGCAACATTGCAAAGGCTTGGGGAGGACATTGAAGTCTGCCTTAAACAGTTGGTATTCGGCACAGTGAGGAGATCTCTACGAATGCAAGTTGCTGAGGAGATGAGAAGATACGGTTACTTGGGACCACATGACTGGAAGATGTTGGAGAGGATATCACTCATTGAGGTATGAAGGATTTTTAATTTTTTTTGTTTCAAGATAACATTCTGTGATTTTAAGTTCCATTATCTGACAAATTTTCTCCCTCTCTCCTCTCTCGTTGTACTGGAAAAGAGACTCTATCCTAGTAGTAGTTTCTGGAGAACTTTTCGTGGCCGGCAAAAGGAATTCACAGAAGCCACATCAACTCTAAATTCTCCAGGAGGAGTATATTTGCAACTTTTGAATTCACATTTATTTGGCAATCTTGTCATTGAGTGTGGCGAGATTGACGGAGTTGTCTTGGGTTCATGGACAAATGTCAATGAAAGTTCGTCTAAGCCTGTGATTGATGAAGATAATGCTCATGCTGGATATTGGGCTGCTGCTGCAGTGTGGTCTAATGCATGGGATCAGAGAACCGTTGATCGTGTAAGTGACTACTTTCTTTGTGTCTGAACATTTCAAAAGATGCGTCATATTGTGCTGAAACTGGAGTTGAAGGAAAATGTATTGTTGTCTTAGGATAGGATGTGGTGTCCACTTTGAGGTTCCAATCCACTATCTTTTATAGACACTGCATTATTTTCCTCTTAATGAGAACTGAAAAATTGCAAAATGTAGTGTGTCGCGTGTATCAATCTTTATTTTTTGTATGTTTAATTGAAGTATGTTAGGACTTAGGATTAGTTAGGAGGTTTCCATTTTTGCTCTTCCCTTGTGTGGTCCTGTCTAAAGCAAAATACTGTTATTCTCTTGACGCTTTTAAAGTGGTAGATGTTCTTCATTATGAATATCAGATACCTGCTATCTGAAGCATATCTGTGATCATCCTTTATATAAACACTTTGTCATCTTTCTTGCTGTTCACTTTTGTCTAGAATTCTCTCTCCTACCTTTTTTAGGTTTGAAAGTTAACTGTGTCTCAGTGAACTCATGGCTGTCAACCCAGCTAGATAGTTAGATATAAAATTGAGATAGTTTATATCTTTATTTTAATACCATGGGTTGTGTTATTCCTCTTCTTGCTCATTCTCAGATATATCACGTTAGAGCTATATACTACTAATGCATATTTGTTGGTTATGTTTCATTCATTACAATTTATTTCCATGTCTCTGAGGCTTTTCAATTGAGATATGGGCCTGTAAATTTCTCAATAAATGTTTCTCTATGCAGATAGTGCTGGATCAACCTTTTCTTATGGGTGTTCACGTATTATGGGAATCACAACTGGAGTACCACTTATACCATAATGACTGGGAAGAAGTTTCCAAACTTCTGGACATTATTCCTAAATCTGTGCTATCAGATGGAAGCCTACAGATTGCTTTGGATGGTTCACAGCCTGCTTCAACTATCGGTAGTAATAGTGAATTTCCTGACTATGGCAATTACATATGCTCTATAGAAGAACTGGATGCTGGTTGTGTGGAAGTGCCAGATATCAAAATATTTAGGTTATCTGCTAATATTATGTGCTCCATGTGGTTAAGGAGGCTCATGGAGCAGGAGCTAGCTAGGAAATTTATTTTTTTGAAGGAATACTGGGAAGGCACTGCAGAAATTGTAGCTCTTCTGGCCTGTTCAGGCTTCATTACTAGCAGAAATAAAATTTCATCTGAGGATGATTCTATTGAGAATTTATCAGATATTGTTGGAAGATCTTCTGTTGGTACCATTCAAGCTTTACATAAATTACTTATGTATCACTGTGCGCAACAGAACTTGCCAAATCTTTTGGATCTTTACCTTGATTATCACAAGTTGGTTCTAGATAGCAATTCACTTCATTCATTACAAGAAGCTGCTGTAAGTTTTCATTTCTGTCATCTGTGTTCTGCTGTAGTTTTCATTTCTATCATCCATGTTCATCACACTTTGTTCTCTCTGATATTGCAACATGTTTTGCTAATGTTTTGTATGGTACAATCTATACTATACATTATTTGTATACTTTTAATATCTAGTATACTGTAACATTTTTTGTATAAATCTAATATATTTTGCGCTCTTACCTTTGTCTTTGTTTTATTGGATACATCTGTTCAGGGAGATTGTCACTGGGCAAGATGGTTACTCTTATCTAGGATTAAGGGGCGCGAATATGATGCATCATTTTTTAATGCTCGTGCTATAATGTCACATAATTTAGTTTCTGGTAACAACTTAAGTGTCCTAGAGATCGATGACATAATTTGTACTGTTGATGACATTGCGGAAGGAGGGTGGGAAATGGCTGCTTTAGCAACTCTAATGTATGCCCCTGCTCCAATTCAAAGCTGTTTAAGTAGTGGTGGTGTAAACAGGCGTAGTAGTTCTTCAGCCCAGTGCACATTGGAGAACTTGAGACCCGCTTTACAACAGTTCCCTACATTGTGGCGCATGCTTGTAGCTGCATGTTTCGGACATGATACAGTTTGCGCTTTTGTAGGCCCTAAAGTGAAGAATGGTAAGCTTTTGACCTCTTATTTTCTTTTGGTTCTTTGGATTCGATTTGTATAACATTGTTTTTTTTTCACTTTATTTGGTAATTCAGCTTTATCAGACTACCTAAATTGGCGTGATACCATCTTCTTCTCTTCTGGACGTGATACTTCTCTTTCCCAAATTCTGCCGTGCTGGTTTCCTAAGGCCATAAGGAGGTTAATTCAGCTTTTTGTTCAGGTATGCATTTTAATCTCTTCTTAAGACGCTATTGAGATTTGCTATGCGATTTTCCTTCTCAAGGTTCTTGTCTAACTTATGGTCAAATAGAGGTATGATATAAGCTTTTCTTTGAGACAAAGTCTTGATCTTACAAAGCTTATGTTAATACTTGTAAGTAGTTTAATCTGTTCCATTTTACTGATCTTTGCCGTCGTTATTACCATTGTAATATATGTATCAAGGGTCATTTTTTATTTTAAACTTTTTATTAATAAATTGTGACAGAAGTTGTAAACCATCATTCAAAGAACTTTCAACGGTTGAGATTAAATTTGACATGCATCATTCCTAAGGTGTATCAATTATGTGTGTCAATATTATATCACTGTTGAAACTGTTTTGATCTAATCTTCCACTAAATGTGACATTTTGTGTGGAAAATAAGGTTTCCAATATATTTATATATTATCTGCCTGGACATTAATGATTTTGTTTGCATGTGATTGCAGGGTCCTGTTGGATGGCAAGCACTTCCAGATCTGCCTACAGAATCTTCACTAGATAGAGACATTGAATTTTTCATAAATGCCCATGGGCATGCTGAGGTTAGTGCTATCTCATGGGAAGCAACTATCCAGAAGCATATTGAAGAGGAACTTTATGACTCCTCACTCCAGGTATGTGCTTTTTTTTTCAAGGCAATCATTTCATTCGAAATGTAATAATTATAAGCTGTTGACTGAAATAATATTTTTGGCTTTATGAGATTCTTTCATAGCATTCTCTTTTGCCTGGGTTACTATTTGTCGCAATTTAAGTAGCAATATTATTAGTTTGGTTACAATTGATCTTCTTACTTGTTGATAAGAAACTTCATACAATTTTATGATTCTAAAAGTCTATTAATGAAAGCAGTCCACACTAAGGTGGAGAGACTAACTTACAAAATAGGCCAAAGATTCATAATCCATGAGAAGACCCTAAAATAGATATCCCGGAAAAAATGAAGAAATATTTATTGGGCTAATCTATGTCAAACAACTGTTGCCTTACAATTAAACTATTTATAGTGAATAAAAAGAAAGAAAGTTCTCTAAATTCTACAGAGACAAAAGTACAAGGAGAAGCCTAAATTTTTGTTTTCATAACATCAAAACCTCTTCTCCTGATTGTCTATTTCTCTCATTCCGTATTGCACATAATAAGGCCATCACTTGACAGTCTGACAAAACATAGGCTTCTTTCCTCCCCAAAAACCGTTATGCCTTCCCGTTGTGACAGAAAAGTTGGACAGGCACAACCCATGAAATTTTAATGTTTGAAAATGCACTGAATCAGAGATGTAAGGCAATGGAGAGGTGCAAGAAAGATGATTAATGCTCTCGACTTCTCTTTTTGCACATAATGCACCTTTGATGATATAAACACAATGTCGGTATTCCCCTTGTAGTGGTGTCCTTAGTGTTTAGCTTTCCTTATTCAAAGATTCAAGGTTGAAATTTACCTTGAAAGGAACTCCTATGTGTATAAAACTTCTTAATTGTGTCATGATATCTTATCAAGTGATTCTGAAGAGAGTGGGAGACTCATTCTCTATTGTAAAGGACATGGTTCTATGTTATGCACGGGAGTATTCAGTTTTCCAGAAGTTAAACTATCTGAAGACGAGCTGACCCTGATTTTCTTAGGGGAATTTATTGTTTATCCTATGCACAATATAAGCTAATTATGTTCCTTGGTTTTTGAGAGCAATGCTGTTTTGACCATTACTCATACGTTGTTATCTGCTTGCTATTGGCTTTGGAATTCTTTAATTGTGCAATGCTATTTCACAAAATCTTTTGGCAGCTATGATAATATCTGGATAGTCATAGTGTGCTGTTACTTGCTTAATAGCTTCCTTTCTGCTGGGAGCACCTACTTGGTTTCTTTTCACTTGCCTCCATTTCATTTATTGTTAAACTTGCGTTAACTCTAGGAGACTGGACTTGGACTTGAGCACCACTTGCATCGTGGTCGTGCCCTGGCAGCTTTTAACCATCTTCTTGGTGTTAGAGTTGAGAAGTTGAAATCAGAAGGCCGATCAAGTTCTTCAGCACAGGGACAGGCAAATGTTCAATCTGATGTTCAAACACTTCTTTCACCCATCCAGCAAGGCGAAGAGTCTCTTCTTTCATCTGTAATTATCAGTTTCCTTATTGTCTAGATTTATTTACTCAAACAAATATATCTAGTTCACCTCAGTTTGATTATTTTCTATTGATATTAAAGAATTTACTTTTACATTAATATATTGTTGAAGTCAATATTAGTTTTATCTAATTAGGGCTTTGTAAGTATCTAATGGGATTTAAATTTTTAGGTTATGCCACTTGCTATTTCACATTTTGAAGATTCTGTATTGGTTGCCTCATCTGCTTTTCTCCTAGAGCTTTGTGGGTTATCTGCCAGCATGCTCCGTGTTGATATAGCGGCTTTGAGACGGATATCCTCTTTCTACAAATCTAGTGAAACTAATGAAAGTCATAAGCAATTTTCACCTAAGGGTTCTGCATTTCATGCAGCATCCCATGGAGGTGATATAACAGAGTCTCTAGCTCGAGCACTGGCAGATGAATATTTGCATGAGGATAATGCAACCAAGGCTAAGCAGAAGGGAACTCCAAGTTCAGTTAGTGACACACAGCCTTCTAGAGCTCTAATGCTTGTCCTACAACATTTGGAAAAGGCTAGTCTTCCAGTAATGACAGATGGAAAGACTTGTGGATCTTGGCTGTCAACTGGTGTTGGTGATGGAGCAGAATTAAGATCTCAACAAAAAGCTGCAAGCCAGCACTGGAATTTAGTTACAGTCTTTTGTCAGATGCATCAGCTTCCTTTAAGCACAACATACCTTGGTGTATTAGCACGAGATAATGATTGGGTATGCTCTAATGTTTTCACTATTGTTTGGTTAAGGAATGTTTTTCCAATTTTATATCTCATGTTGCCCTTATCTTTTGTAAGGTTGGATTTTTATATGAAGCTCAAGTTGGTGGGTATCCTTTTGAATCAGTGGTCCAGGTGGTAAGTCTCCTTTCCTCTTCAATAGTTTTTCTCTATATACATTTTTTAAAAATTAATACAAACATTGTTTGTGATGAAAATTTGACCATTTTATGTCCTTTTGTCTGTGGTTCAGGCCTCAAAGGAATTTAGTGATCCACGTCTCAAAATTCACGTGTTAACAGTTTTGAAAGGCATGCAATCAAGGAAAAAAGCTAGTTCTTCATCTTACATGGATGCTACAGATAAAAATGAAAGTTCCTTTTTAGATGAAAATTTATATATCCCGGTTGAGCTCTTTAGAATTTTAGCTGATTGCGAGAAGGAGAAAAATCCTGGAGAGGCCCTCTTGATTAAAGCTAAGGAATTGTCCTGGTCTGTTTTGGCAATGATTGCTTCGTGTTTTCCAGATGCTACACCATTATCCTGCCTAACTGTTTGGCTGGAAATTACTGCAGCCAGGTTACAACACATATCTTATATTTTAGTGTTTTTTAAAGTTTTGGATATTTGTGCTTTTGTGCTGGAGGGAGTCAATGCATATATGAAATTTCATATAAATATGCTTTATTCCTTTAGTATCTAGAGCATCCTAGCTCCTTTAATAAATACTTCACATTTGCATTGTAGTAGGGCTTAGATCTAATTGTTGCTAATTATTAACAGGGAAACTTCATCGATAAAGGTGAATGACATAGCTTCACAGATAGCAGATAATGTTGCTGCAGCTGTGGAATCTACCAATTCCATGTCAGCTGGTGGTAGACCCCTTGCATTTCGTTACAACCGGCTGAACCCAAAACGTAGACGGCTTATGGAGCCAATATCCACGGATCCCTTGGTTGCCTCATCTGATGTTTCAAATACTTATCCTGATGCAAGAATATTAACTGCCCAGGAAAGCAGTGGGGAGGAAGGAAAAATTGAAGATGGTCACAATATTAACATTCGAACTGATTTAATTGAAGGCCCTGCTTCTCTGTCCAAGATGGTTGCGGTGCTTTGTGAACAACACTTGTTTCTTCCTTTGTTAAGAGCATTTGAAATGTTCCTTCCTTCATGTTCTTTGTTACCTTTCATTCGAGCACTTCAGGTTTGTTAGCAATGTTAAATCTCAGCTTTACATTTATCTCTGTGATTCTTTGTGTAGAGCTCCCTTTTATGTATTACAAAACTTGACTTATGGACCCTTATCTCTTTGAGGCACTCCTTTTTGACCATATAGAACATGCATCCTGATCTCCTTGGATAAAGCCTGCTGGTCCAATTTCTGCTCCTGGTATNAATATTAACATTCGAACTGATTTAATTGAAGGCCCTGCTTCTCTGTCCAAGATGGTTGCGGTGCTTTGTGAACAACACTTGTTTCTTCCTTTGTTAAGAGCATTTGAAATGTTCCTTCCTTCATGTTCTTTGTTACCTTTCATTCGAGCTCTTCAGGTTTGTTAGCAAAGTTAAATCTCAGCTTTACATTTATCTTTGTGATTCTTTGTGTAGAGCTCCCTTTTATGTATTACAAAGCTTGACTTATGGACCCTTATCTCTTTGAGGCACTCCTTTTTGACCATATAGAACATGCATCCTGATCTCCTTGGATAAAGCCTGCTGGTCCAATTTCTGCTCCTGGTATTAAGTCTAGATAGTTCACTCAATGTTCAATGAGCTCGTAGATGTAGACATAGATGTGCATGGTTAAGGGGAATATTAAATTACAGTACAGTGCATAAATTATTCCCCTACACCCCACCTAAAACTTCAATTAAAATACGTTATAGTTGAGTTATTTTGTGTGTGGATTTGATGTTGACTTCATTGAGTTATAATTATTGTTTTGTGTTAAAACTACTTTTTGGAATGAGGTTGATGGGATTATTTTCTAATACAAGCTTTATCCTTGTTGTTTCTACAGGCATTTTCACAGATGCGCCTATCTGAAGCGTCAGCACATCTGGGTTCCTTCTCTGCCAGATTAAAGGAAGAGCCAACTCATTCACAGGCAAATATGGGAAGAGAAGGCCAGATTGGAACTTCATGGGTTAGCTCAACTGCTGTAAAAGCTGCCGATGCTATGCTTTCAACTTGTCCATCTCCTTATGAGAAGAGATGCTTACTGCAATTGCTTGCTGCTACTGACTTTGGTGATGGGGGATCTACAGCTACTTACTATCGACGACTCTACTGGAAGATTAATTTGGCGGAGCCTTCACTGCGAAAAGATGATGGCCTGCAACTAGGGGATGAGACTTTAGATGATGCTTCACTTTTAACTGCATTAGAAAAGAATGGACATTGGGAACAAGCACGGAACTGGGCCAAGCAGTTGGATGCCAGTGGTGGACCTTGGAAATTTACTGTTCACCATGTCACAGAAACTCAGGTAATATAAATGCAATATAGGTTCCTGCTTCCATCTCAAGTGATTTAATGGATTGTTGAACTTTCCTCACTCGGAGGAGGATTGTCATCTAGGATGTGAAACAATTCACTAATTTAATGTTCAAACTATGAAGCCTACACAAGTTTTAATATAGCACATTCTAATGTTTATATCCATGAAATTTATAACTTAATATGATTTATATGGACATTTTGTTTTCAAAATTTTACTTTGTTAAAGTTTTTGTGAGTTGCTTGTGTGATAATTACTGAAACCATATTCCAAGTAAACACCTTGAGCACCTTTATATACAGAACCTCTTCATTATAGGTTATTACTGGTGAAATTATCATAACATGGCACTTATAGTTTGTTTTTCGTTTGGGAAATGGTTCAGTTTGTAATGCCTTTTATGTTGTTATGGACTCTGCTACATACCCTTTGTCTAGGCATTTATGGCGTGAATCCTTTATCATGCCTGCCATATCTGTAAGCACCTCTTGATGATTTCTTCTTGAACTTGTCAATGCTGACTTTTGCCCTCTCCTCATTTTTAGGCTGAATCCATGGTGGCTGAATGGAAAGAGTTCCTTTGGGATGTCCCTGAAGAGAGAATTGCTTTATGGGGCCATTGCCAGATATTGTTCATCAGATATGCCTTCCCTCCTTTACAGGTACGTTTGTTTTGTGATAGCAACATTCGCCTATCAGAATCATGATTCTGGCAACTTGCATAGTGCTTAGATAATCTACTTTCATATTGTGTGCAGGCTGGATTATTCTTCCTTAAACATGCAGAAGCAATTGAGAAAGATCTTCCGGCTAGAGAGCTTTATGAAATGTTGCTACTTTCGCTTCAGTGGTTAAGTGGAATGATAACCCAGTGCAATGCGTAAGTTACTTTAAAGCTGATCCAGTTGCTGCCATTCAGCGTAGTATATCACTACTAAACTGACCTTTGTGCTCATTTTATTAGAGTTTATCCGTTGCATCTTCTGCGAGAAATTGAGACTAGAGTATGGCTGTTGGCAGTAGAATCAGAAGCTCAGGTGAAAAGTGAAGGAGACTTCAGTTTAACCAGTTCCACCCGGGAAAATACTTCCAATATCATTGACCGGACTGCAAATATAATAACAAAAATGGATAATCATATTAATGCAATGAGGAACAGACTTGCAGAGAAACATGATGCTAGGGAAAATAACCAAGCAAATTACAAGAACCAAGTGTTGGATGCTAGTTCTTCAACTACATCTGGGGGAAGTACGAAGGCAAAACGGAGGGCGAAAGGCTACATGCCATCAAGACGGCAATTAGTGGACTCTGTAGATAAAAGCACTGAACCTGAAGATAGTTCTGTCCTTCTCAACTTTAGGCATGATTCTCAATTGCAAGATGAAAGCCTGACAATGGAAATGTCTTTTCCAAAATGGGAGGAACGGGTTGGACCTGCAGAGCTGGAAAGGGCTGTTCTTTCTCTTCTGGAGTTTGGACAAATAACAGCTGCCAAGCAACTTCAACATAAGCTGTCTCCAGCTCATGTTCCATCAGAATTTGTACTTGTTGATGTTGCTTTAAAGCTTGCAGCTATCTCGACACCCAATAGACAAGTCTCAATTTCAATGCTCGATGAGGAAGTGCTTTCAGTCATTCAATCATACAATATAGTGATCAACCGAAACTTCATCTATCCACTGCAGGTTTTTGTCCTAATATCCCTTAGTTCCTTTGTCTCACATACTTTTTTATGTACAAAGTTAATTGGGTTTACAATGCTAAAATGAATGAGGTCACTCATTTAATGGAATATTTGTAGTTTGTTCCCTTCTGTCTTTTCAAATGGTAATTTTCTCTTGTTTATGTTCTTTGATGGATTCTAATACTTGAATATGCAACTTTAGGTCTTAGAGAGTTTAGCTACTATTTTCATTGAAGGCCATGGGCGTGGTCTATGTAAGAAGATAATATCAGTCGTAAAAGCTGCCAATGTGTTGGGTCTTCCATTCTTGGAGGCATTTGAGAAGCAACCAGTTGAATTGCTACAGCTTCTTTCTCTTAAAGCACAAGAGTCATTTGAAGAAGCATATCTCCTTGTGCAAACTCATTCAATGCCGGCCACAAGTACTGCTAAAATTCTTGCAGAATCCTTCCTAAAGGTGTGCCATGTTAATTTTCATTTTTATTTGATATTTAATGCTGAAATTAAAATTCTAGGCTTTTGGCATTAGCTGTAACAGCTCATAATTTGTGGTGGATGTGGGCATTATTGTGGCATTGGACAACCAGGGTCAAAGTCGACCGAGCTTATGATTTAAACCCTATTATAAGTTGACCATATAAAACAAATGCTACTCTAATCTAGAGTAAGTTGTTGATTAACATCCTCCGTGTCTCTAGGGTTTATTGGCTGCACACCGTGGAGGGTACATGGATTCTCAGAAGGAGGAAGGACCAGCTCCTCTATTGTGGAGATTTTCAGACTTCTTGAAGTGGGCAGAACTTTGTCCTTCTGAACCAGAAATTGGCCATGCACTAATGCGTTTGGTGATTACTGGACAGGAAATACCTCATGCTTGTGAGGTATTGTTGTCAATTATAAGCTGATTTTAATACTATCCATTGCTTCTGATACCATAAAGATTTAGTTAAATTTTCATTCACCTTTCCCGAAGTTTCACCTAATTACAAACTGATTTACTTCGTCCGGAAATTATGTAAAAGCCTCCTTGTACGAGAGGTTCCTGATTAATCTTATGCAATTAGGAGATCTTTGATAATCATGTAGAAGGTTTATGATGATTTTCGTAATTCATTTGGGGGTTGTAACAAATGTTGATGCTAATGGGTTCTATCTATATTTTAGCCGAATCCTAGGGAAGATCAATAAAAAATAATTAATTTCTACATTAGGTTTCTCTATGAAGAAGTTAAAGGAATTTGTGGAAGTGATAATGATCGTGGTGACAACGATCAACAGCCCTACAATTATAAAGAAAAGATATCTGTATATTGTTTTTGATGTACATCTGCTTCTAATTTTTTTAAGCGTTGTTCACAGGTTGAGCTTCTCATTCTCTCCCACCATTTCTACAAATCATCAGCTTGCCTTGATGGAGTTGATGTTCTTGTGGCTCTCGCTGCAACCAGGGTTGAAGCTTATGTGGCCGAGGGTGATTTTCCATGTTTGGCTCGACTGATAACGGGCGTCGGAAACTTCCATGCCCTTAATTTTATTCTTGGCATTCTTATAGAAAATGGTCAGCTGGATCTCCTTCTTCAAAAGTACTCTGCTGCTGCAGACACAAATACGGGCACTGCTGAGGCTATCAGAGGATTCCGAATGGCTGTTCTCACATCGTTGAAGCATTTTAACCCCAATGACCTTGATGCATTTGCTATGGTTCGGATGTGCTTACACGACTTATTTTTTTCTGCAACTTCGAGTTTTTAAATATTCATCTCAATCTTCTTTTTACAGGTCTATAATCACTTTGACATGAAGCATGAAACAGCTTCTCTTTTAGAGTCGCGAGCGGAGCAGTCCTGCCAGCAGTGGTTTCATCGTGCTGACAGGGACCAAAATGAAGACCTCCTAGATTCCATGCGCTACTTTATCGAAGCTGCGGAAGTTCACTCTTCTATTGATGCTGGCAATAAAACACGAAGAGCTTGTGCGCAGGCTTCCCTTGTCTCTCTTCAAATTCGAATGCCGGATTATAAATGGCTGAACCTTTCTGACACCAATGCCCGGCGAGCATTGGTTGAGCAATCTCGTTTCCAGGAGGCTTTAATCGTCGCAGAAGCCTATGGTCTTAACCAGCCGAGTGAATGGGCGCTGGTACTTTGGAATCAGATGCTCAATCCAGAACTAACGGAAGATTTTGTGGCTGAATTTGTGGCTGTACTTCCCCTCCAGCCTTCTATGCTTGTCGAACTGGCGAAATTCTATCGGGCTGAGGTGGCGGCCAGGGGCGACCAGTCCCAATTCTCAGTCTGGCTGACTGGTGGAGGCTTGCCAGCTGAATGGGCTAAATATCTGGGAAGATCATTCAGATGCTTGTTGAAGAGAACTAGGGATCTGAGGTTACGGATGCAACTGGCCACTGTGGCAACTGGGTTCACCGACGTGATCGATACATGCACAAAGGAGTTGGATCGGGTTCCCGATATCGGTGCACCACTCGTTCTCCGGAGAGGGCATGGTGGGGCTTACCTCCCGTTGATGTGAGTAATACATGATTCCATGGCGATGATGATGATGATGAAAATTTTGACTTGGATGATATCAAACGTGATTACGAGGGGCTGATCCGATGGTGCCGGTGATATTAAATCTCGTAAATCTCTATTTTGATGAATTAGCAACAAGATTATATTTTTGGACAGCGTAAATTAGTTGAAGAGTTTGAAAATAATTGTTGAAGAATATGTTCAGATTAGGAAGACAAAAAGGGGTTGAAGCCTGGAAAATCTTGTAAAGTGGTTCGGTTTTGTTCTGTTAAAATTTTTGAGAAATTTCCTTTTTGGATGACAGAATTTTTGGTGATGGGTAATGTCAATTTTGTAAGAAATGTACATGTGTACATATTTTTTAGTTTTGAATATAAAGTTCATTTTTGTGTTTAGTTTGTTTCTCAGGAAAATTTACAAATTTATTAAGAACTTGGTTACACTCTTAATTTGAATATGATCTATATGTTATACTGTTATTCTCTATTTTTGTTATTTTCTGTTTTATAAAAGTAAAGACTTAGGGTATGTTTGGGGAGTTAGATTAGAGGATGGGATTGAACTCTTTTTTTTTTTTTTTTAATTCCAAATGATTGGTAGCCATAGCCCATAGGAATTAGGATTACTTATCCCAAATTGGATTAACTTTTTTTTACATTAAAAAATTATTCTTATTAAATTTATTTATATTGTATTATTTTATATAATGAGAACTAATTATTAATATACAAATTTATATACTTACTTAATAATCGATATAAAATGTGATAGTTTAATAATTTAAAAATTATGACTTAATTATATTTAATGTTTTTAATTGATTTTTAATATAAATATTCTTATCCAACCCCATACTTTACTAAACACGAGACAGTACTATTCTAATCCTAATCCCAAAATCTAATCCAATCTAATCGAACTCTACCTCTCAGACGCGACCTAAAAACGATGACGCAACGCCAGTTTGATAAAATGACAAATTCCTCGAAGGATTATGAAGTAACAATAATTTCATTACCGTTTTAGTATTTCCATTATATTTATTATTACACCTTCCGTCTATTTTAGCACCTAAAATTTTTTAACATGATAATTATTGATTTTTGTTATTTAATCAAATCTTAAGAGTCAATTAACTCAAATAAAAATTATAAAAATAGATTAATATTATACGTTTTATGAGATAAAATAAGAAAATAAAAACGATAATTATCAGCCTTTAGCTTTTCAAAATAAATTTTGATTTAAACTGTCACTACAAAGAATCAAGGTATACATAAACCTCAAACATCTTGGTAATGCCCCATTCAGAAGGGCCCTGATTAATTTCTAACCTTTTTTTTTTTCCCTCATGTAATTGAGACTTATTTCATCAAAAGCAGATTTTTCCATTGCACGTGCGAAGCTACCAGCGCCAACTGAGCAAGAACGATGTATAATTTCTTATGCTCTGTTGGTGACGTGAAAAAAAAAGAATGCTTCCTGACATCGTTCAGGAACATAAATTCAATCTTGCTTTGATTGTTCAGAAGGTGATGGACGCCTCTGAGCAAGCGCCCGCTTAGTGCTTTCCAGGACACCGAAGAAAATTGAACCACCGATGCCTATCCACAGTACCCTCGGTCCAATGCCCTACAGTGAAGAGGAAATGTAATTCTCTCAGAATTACCATTGTATCATATCTGTATAATAAATCTTACGAATTTGAAGATGTGTGTGACTGCTTTTTATTTTATAATTCTGCCCTTTTTAGGGTATTTTCAATCATGTCAACTGGAAATACTTTTTTCCGGGTGGAAATCGTACCTTCAGAAGAGCAGGAGGTCCTTCTTCTCTAACAATAGTTTGAACACAATCGAAGATACCTTTGTACTGGTTTGCGGATCCCTACAATGGAAAATAGATGGTATAATGAACCAGCAGAGTACAATTTATAAGGAAAAAAAAATGATAGTACCTGAACCATTAATCTTGTTTTAATCACATCCAGGGGAGTAGTAATAGCTCCAGTCAATGCACCTATAAAAGAGAATTTTAAAAAATATTAAGAAAAAAACATCATTGTCCATGTTAAACCGGTACTCTTCAATACTTCTTTGTTTTTGCATTCCATCAATGTAGATACAAAAACGATCGGATTCGATCGTTAAAAATTTGAAGTTGTATCTTGGGAAAAGACATTATATGCTCCCAGATTGATGTGTATGAACGAGTCATTACCAGCAAAGGCACCAATGACAGCGTTCTCAGGATCATTCAACTCTCTGTGCGCCTACAAAAATAACAAAATGTCAAAGTTCTCAATTGATCAAAACTTAAAAAGAGTCTGTTTGGTTGTGCTTATCTACAGATCAAAAGAACTTATTTAAAGTTATAAGTACTTCTAAGATTAATTTAAGTTGTCTGGTTGCATCTCAAAATATACCCATGAAGTGTAATATTACATGAAACTATGCATAGCAAGGAGCTTACTGCTGCTTTATAACCCAACCGAAGCTGCTCATATAAGCAGAATTGAATTGCATCAAAGGGCAAATCCCGCAATAGAAAGGATCCATATCCCTGAGATTTCAAAGATGCCGTTCAAATTAGATATCCCAAACAATTAACAAAATGCAGTAACTATATGCCTGCAGGTCAAGAATCAAAACCACAGTACAAAGAACAAAATAAAAGAATGAACCTCAGGTAAACAGAACTATTTCAATCTCATACCGCATATAGACCCTTAAATCCTTCCTTAGAAACAATAAGACGGACAGCATCCGGAGCTGAAACAAACTGCCCAGTCTGCATCCTTTGCTTAATAACCTGTTGATTGTTAAATAGTAAAAAATTAATCTAAACACAAAAGAATTATGCCTAGTATAGCAGTTCCTAAACCGAAAATGCATAGGTAGAAAAATCTACTTCTGTTGGCACACGGATGAGAGAAGCAGCAACCCCTCCTATGGCACCTGCTGTCTGCATAATATTCAAAAAACTTATTGCAAGAAAAGAATAATCTAAAAGGGACTGAACCGTTGAGCAAAATTTAAGCAACCAAACAAATTCAAGATGATAAACTGGACCAAATCATTCAGAATGGTGGGTGGGATGTTTACAGGAGTTTCCGGGTGGCTAATATAAGAAAAGATGAAGATACATCGAGGCCTAAAAGTCGAGTATAATATAATACTTTCATCCAATGGGAAAGTGTGGAGACACTCAAAAGCTTGTGTCTCTATGATTTCCATGGGACTTCAACCAGAAAAACAAATTAAAACATGTTCAAAGGAAAACTATTGACAAGCATTCTTACAAATTAAGAAACTTATTTCCGAGCAACCATCATTAATATGCGAAAGCAAAGACAGAAGACATTGTATAATCACTTACCAGATGAGCAACAGCACTAAGATTTTCAGGAAACATCCTCAACAATTTCTGTTTTGTTGGTTCATATACGCCAACAAATAAAGCAGAAGCGCTGTAAATAAAGTATAAAAGAATTATACTCATATCACTACATAAAATCAGTACATAAGAGCTTATCTCACTACATCAATACATATTCAGGAATAATTGATTAACAAGTTACTTTCCAAACCTATATCCAACTCACTTTGGATACGGAAGACATATTTAATTATTGGATGAAATATACTAATCTCATTAAATAGAGGATCAAGAATCTACTAGTCAATAGAACTTCAGATAATAGATAGATTAAAGAAAAAAAAATCCTACAAAGAGGGCTAAACCAAATGATTTGCTACCTAAATTTTGATAGCAATGCTTCAGAGCCAACTTCCACGCGTTTAGCAAAATAAAGGAGATATGATTCTTAACAGGTCTAGAAACAACTAGATGCATTTTCCTGTAAAAACATGGAAGATATGCAGTTCTTAAGTACTTACGGTAAGACCCCAGCAAGGTTTCCAGCCAAACCAGAATAAAGGCCCTTCAACTTTATTTTTCCTCCACCTCGAGCAGCCTATAAAAATATATATATAAAAAAGTTTTCAGCCCAGGATAATTATTAAGTTATGGGATTAGATAATCTACACAAGATGGGGAACTATTAGATTCAAGTTCACCCACTTTACATATACAACTTAAATGCACCTCTACCTAAATCCCAAGAAAAGACGAAGTAGCAGCAAACAGAGAAGAGGCACCATTTTGTTTAGTGACCTTTGTATATATAGAAACAGATTTTGAATGATTGCAATTCCTTAACATTAAAAAGAAAAAAAAAAGAAGTAGGAGTCATCTAAATAGCAACAGACAAAAGGCACTCCTAAAGAAGCAGACAAGAGCCTGATAATGAGTAATGAAGCAGTAAAACCAATGGCAGAGAACCTTTCTCTCTAATGATATGTGACAACTCTTAATTCCTAACTCCAGGCAAGAAACAATTAAACATATAACCGTATGGTTAACCTACCTGCAGCCTTGTCTTTATGGTATCGATAGGATATAAAGCAGTTTCAACAACAACACCAGCTGTACCTCCTGCTATAACTCCCTCTGCAAAATTCCGCCTGACCAATAAGCATGCATAAAAACTAAACGATAAAATTTGCTATATGAGCAGCATTGACATTAACCAGTTTAGTACTATATGTCATGAACAAAAACTGAACCACTATATCTGTGCTTTCAATCATTTCAAAGAAAAAAGCAGTTACAGACCCTATAAGAACTTGCCCTAAACATTTCATGAACAAAAATCAATCATGAAAATAAGCAAGCCTCCAAAAATGAGAATTCCACACAATTAAGAGCTAAATCACATGAATACATTGTCTGAAGATTTTTAAATGCGATGAATAATCAAACACAAACTGGATTTTGTTTGGGGTTATTGTCACTTGCACCCCTGAATCTTTACATGATTTTTCCATCTTTCACCCCAAGAAATTTAAAGTAAACTGCACATACCAAATAAAGTACGAAAGAAATCAAAGGGTTTCTGCTCTTCCATGCTAACTGATGCAAACGACTTCCTTGTTTCCAGCTGCAACTTCTGTGTTTTCTTGTTCGATAGATCTGCAAAAATGTGTCACCTGTTCAAAGTATAAACAACATTGTACAAAGAAAAAAGTTTCCCCCACAAAATAAAACGATTATTGCACATATTTGTTCATTGTTATAATAATAATAATTTTGTAGAACTTAACTAATTACCAACCTCTTAAAGGAACTGCAGATTAACTTCCTTTTTTAAAATAATTAATATAAAAAACTTCCAACACCACATATTTTTCAGAGTTTCCACATTTTTTATTTTTCTAGATTGTACATCAAAAAAGTACTTATATTTAGAACTAATCCAAGATTAACCAAAAAAAAAAAAAAAAAAAAAAAAAATTTAACAGCCCCGCTTAATTTATAATTCAAAAATTACATTTCAACTTGTATTTCAACATTTTTAATATCCAAAAAGACTTTAGAATTTAGATATAATATTCAAAAATTATTTCCAGAATCAAAAACTTAAAAAAAAAAAACATATTTTTTATTATCCCAAACAATCTTTTGAAAACACTTCAACTAAACCAAACAGAGTTTTATTTTACAAAAATGCTCTTGATATAATATTCAAAAACTATATTCAGAATAAAAAACATAGAAAACAAATTCTTTTATTTTATTTTTGCTTTTATCACAAACTCTTTTCTGAAAACACTTCAACCAAGCCAAAACCGTGTTTTCCTAAAACTTATTATTCCGTTTAAAAAAATATATATATATAATTATTAACCAAAATAACACAAAGCATTTTAACCACATCGTCCAACTCCAAAACCTAAATTAATGGAAAAATAATGAAGAACTAATTTAAAGCGAAAATGAAATGAGCTGCAGAAGCGCTTTTTAATTACCTGAAGAAGCTGTAGAAGTGCTTTTCGAATCAACGGATAGCGTTAAAGGACCCATCCAGGCCCTATAACAAACTAAATTGAGAATTAATATTACTCAAAAATCGCCTGAATTAAAAAAAAAAAAAAATTAAGAATAACAAAAAGAAGAAGAAGAAGAAGAGAGTAAAATAAAATTGAGGCGAAATGGAGAAAAAGAAGCTAACCAGAGAGAGGAGGACCGAACCGGAGAGACAGACTGAGAGAGTGCCGTTAGGAGAAGTGAAGTTGGAAATGTCGAGGGAAGAAAGAAGATAGAAGAGACTGTTGGGTTTTGTTTGAGGTTATTATCACTTACCCCTCTAAACTTTTAAAAATAAAATCTGTTCCTATAAAGTTGAGAAACTACTGTGAACACCCTCTTCCGTTAGTTTTGTCTTTGTTAAAGTTTGATGGAAGCAAGGGCAAAAATGGGTATTTCATAAAAATCTTACAACATAAAAAAGAAAAAAATAGAAAAAAAAAAAATCAAAATACTAAAATATTGTTCTTTTTGTTTTTTTCAACAAAATTTGCAAAAATAAACGTGTTAAGAAGTTCAAAACATTTTCAAAATGAATTAAATATACATTTTTTTAGAAAGAGATATTTACTAACCCCCATATTTTTGCCTGAGCCACCCGCAATTATGAAAAATAGGAGGATAACCCCCATTGTGTTTAGGGGTGTTCAAAAGAACCGGTTGGAATCAGAACCGGTGGGTACTCGGGGTTTGGTTCCGGTTCCTACCTAGAACCGACCGTCAACGGGTAGGTTTCAGTTCCAAATTTTTAGAATCGTTACTGTGCGATTCCGGTTTCGGTTCCTATAGTTAGGAAACGGAACTGGAACCAGGAATCGCGACTAATATAAAATAAAATTAAAGATTAGGAGGGTTAATAATTCTGTTTAACACATAACTTAAATTTTATAGATCTGTTTAGCTCAAAAGTGAAAAAGAAAATTAATAAGAAAAAATTATTAAAATAATTGGTGGTTGCTTAGTCTCTAGCCAGATCGGCTTGCCGCTTAGCAGGATCGTCCCGACATGAAGTTGAAAAGTCATTATTGCCCTTCATAAAATTATCAAAATGACGTAAAAACCTTCTTTCTTGTTAAAGTTAACCGGAAAATATAATGAAGTGAGAGTTAACCTCCTATTGCCGATAATAGCGAGTGACATCTACTAAATTGGTAAACCTATAGAAGTTAAAAATAAGTCTACGGGCAAATTTGTAATTGCAATGACCAATAATTACCAACCTGCCAATCTAGCGAGATAAATTAGTAGAAGAGTAATGCTATTCTTACTTACGAACTTACTAACTGTCCTACTCACCTTTGTTAAAATTATATATGATATCCGTACTATGCTTTATATTTACACACGTTAGTAAGATGGTTAGTAAGATCGTGAGTAAATATAATATTATTGATTAGTAGAAATATGTTTGTTTTTATGGTAGTTTTTGAATTTTAAAGAATGTATGTAACAATAACTATAAATAACCAAGGGTACATAGATTGGAAATAATCGGAATCATTAAGTTCGAAATATATGTATATATATATATCTTCCATTATACATAATATAGGCTTGCAATCGCTCTTAGAATTGAATACAAATTTATTTGGGTCATTGAAATACACAAACAAATATTAACTCGCAAAAATATACAAATAAATAATCAAACTTAAAACATTCTACGTAATCCCTTCACTTAAGATCACTGAACATCAAAACTTACGATTATTACCATATATTTTATTTACAAAACAGTAAAAAGAATAATAAACAAATATTTTAACATATCGTACCATGATGCTATGCCTATGCTTTAGTGATCTTGACGTGTGTTATTTGTTAGTTGTCATAACTGTTTAGAATAATGTTAAGAATGCATACAAAACTCCGGCGAAAACGGTGGCAAACGATCCGAAGACCACCTTGAAGCCGCCGCTCTCGATCTGAATGGGGAAAAAACATGTCCCGTTGCTCGGATTCTTCTTCACGACAACCGCTAATCCATTGAAATCACAAGCCTCCTCTTTTTGATTTTTGATTTGATAGTACATGTTGAACGCCTGCGACACCTTCGTTAGATTATCGTTGCCGCTGCACGATCCGCCCTTGCCGATGCTCGTGCAGTCGCCTTCCTTACACGCCTCCTCCATTTGCTTAGGCACCAGCGACATGTCCCTCACCCCTCTATCGAAAACGCACCACTGTTGGTCCAAATACTTCACATTCTTTGCCCCCACTGGCATCTTGTTTTGCCCCTTCCCCGTGAAGTCTATCGGAAACTTTGGCTGCCCGTCGAAACGGAAAATCCCCCAGTGCCTTTCGAAGTCCCCTGGCGCGATGCTCTTCGCGTCCTCGTCGAGCAGGCCGAAAAGATAAATGTCGAATTTGGTGTCTGGTCGCATTGGGGTGCCTTTGCCGCTCCCCAGCTTCTTGAACAAACCGTCATAAAATTTCTGCGCGTTTTTGTTGGTTGCAAATGAGTTTCCGTCCGTCGGCCAGCCGATTTCCCCTATGATGATCTTCAAGTTCGGTACCCCGACTTTCTTGAGAGCCCAAAGCAAGGTGTCGTAGTTTGCGTCGAGGACGTTTGTGTAGGAATTTTGTTTGTCGTTGACGGTTTTACCGTTGCCGAAGAAAGCGAACTCGGTGGGGAAATCGGGGTTTTCGTAGAGACTAAGGAAAGGGTAGATGTTGACAATGAAAGGGGCGTCGTTATCACTGAGAAAATTCACAAGTTGCTGCATGATATCCTTTACATCCTTACGAAAAGCGCCATCGGAGGGCAAGTTCGAGGTCGATTCGTAAACGTCGCCGTTTAGAGGCACTGATGCTTTGATGGTTTTGCCATAGCCAGCCTCGTTTAAAGCTTTCTGAACATTTTTTAGGGCGGGCAGTGTGGGTTTCACGAAGGTACCGTTGTATGATTTCAAGAAGGGTTCATTTCCAACAGCTATATATCTACGTGAAAATTCAAAGAAGTAACTTAGATTAACATAAACATAATTTATATACTATTTTTCATTGAATTAAGCTTTTAAGATTAATGGGTATTCAAAAAAATGAATAAATAAGAACGAAAATCCATCAAATATACACCAAAATTAATCAAATTTAAACAAATTAATTAAGTAGATAAATAAATTTAATTTTACTAACTTGATATTGACAGAATTTGTTTTGAGATGTTGAGTGACGTTGTCTTTCACCCAATCCTTTGCATTTTGATAATCATCGGCCATTGCTTGAAGGTCTAAATTAGGAATTGCAAGCATGACTTCAATCCCAGTATTCGCTAGGGCTTTCACTGTGTAGCCGTCGGCATCGAAGAGCTTCACCCTTTTGAGACCGTTATCCTTCAACATCTGCACCACGATGGACGGCGATAACGGGTGGGAGGCGATGTTGCCCCAATTCATCCCGATGTCCACGGTTGCGCTGTCTATAGAGACCAGAATCACAGAGAAGGTCAAGAGGAAGAACACGGCTCTAACCATTGTTGATCGATTGAGCCAGTCTTGCAAGGGTGAGAACCAATGGTTAAGAAAAATTGAGATTCTTTTTTTGTGGTTAGCTTTGGCTTCTGGACGTAGAGGTAATGCATGCAAGGTAATGCGAGAGTACAGGGGATTTTGCTTTTTATAGAGGGTTTATGTGATTTTGGTTCGTGTATTGTCGTCAATTGAAACTTTGTTTGTTGCAAACTCTAAACTAATTAAACTTTTCTAAATTTAGGTTCTCAATATTGAATCGTTTTAGTAGTAATTACCTTAGAAGACTATTTTTGATATTGTTGTCAAATATATATGTAACAATTATACATATGATAATATAAATTTCGATGAAAAAGAGAGATAATTACATAATAGTTTTCTATAATTAGAAAAAAAAAAAATTTAGAAAATTGAAACTATACTACATTATTCTTACTTTGTTCAACAAATCTTGTTGTGTATATGTATATTTATATGTATATTAATGGGTATGTTGTTGCCACACTTAATTGTAAAAAAAAAAAAAAAAAAAAAAAAAGTTGATTCTCAAAAACCTATATTTTGTTAGTGAACGCATTAAAATATGATTTTTATTTTATATAAATAAATACTAATTTTTGAAAACTAAAAAAGCAAAAAAAAAAAAAAAAAAAATGTGAACTGAAGTTTTGATAAGAAATATTAAAAATATCTCATTACTCACATAAAAAATCTTCACAACACAATTTAATGAGATTCTGAATATTATTAGTCGTTACTATAAAGAAAATAATGTCTCAAATCAAAACAAAAATTTGTTAATGGACGGAGAACAGTGCAACTCGCAATTTAATTGAACTATAATTTAATGGCTTCCAATATATTCATTCTAAAGACTACAAAAGAAAAGAAACAATATTCATAAACTTTTTTTCTTACAAAAAAAGAAAAAAAAAAAAAAAAAGGAACATAAAAAAAAAGACTACTAGTTTTAGATTAATTCATTTAAACCTAATTGAAAAGAAAAGATATGAGATAATTTGATTGTTCTTGAAAAGAAACACATAATAATGTTATGTAAAACCCTAACCCTAACCCTAACAAAAAATGATTTAGGTTTCAACCTCCTTTGCTCCTCATCACCTTTTAACATCAAAAGAAATCAACCTAAGAGGAAGGCTTCGTACCAAAACTGATGCACCAATTCCGTGAATTAAAGCAATCCACATTACTAGTAGAATGCAACCCTTCTTAAGTTTAAAAAAACTATCCTCCTCAACCTCTGAAAAAAAAAAAACTATCCTCCCCAGGCTTCCATAGATGAGTTATTATATGAGTAAATCCCACCGCTGGCACAAAAGATAGCAAGACAGCAACCATCCATCGCCATGTTATCTCCTTACTTACATACAAAATCTTCACATCACACATAAAAAAGGAAAAAAAAAGAAAAAAGAAAAAAAGCTTAAGTTAGAATTACCCATCATAAAAAATATCATATCAAATCAAATTTTAAAAACATGTCTGATTACTCTTCATATCCTCGATCTTGAGCCGTTTCTTCGGATCCTTATCTTATAAATTAAACAAGATCATCTATGAATGTTGAAGATGAACAATGGCAATGGAAAAAGCAAAAAAGAGTTGAAATAAATCAAAAAGGGATGTGCACTACATATACAAACCTAAAGAAATATAAATAAAATACACAAAGCGAAACGAAAGATTACCGCTTGAAAACATTTGAAGTTGTCATCCCATTGCGTCTTGACAAGTACTAGGTTGATTAATAATGTAAGAGACACCAGTATGGAATACCCAATGGGATTAATATTCATCATCCACACAAACATGGCAAAAGACAGAGGGTTAAGAGCCAACATCACAAACTGGAGAAAAAGAAGATTTAGACTATTTTTATTTTACATACTATCAAATACAAAATAATCAAACCATAAGGCTAACCATCAAGCTAAACGAGGGAAAAAATGGTGAAGATTAAGCAATTCTTACAGCCGGTTAGATGGCAGTTTTATCCCTGGTAAGTAGTGAAACATCTAGTTCCTAAATTGAATGATATTTTTCATATTCATAAGGATATTTTCTATAATTAGTTCTATTATATTATGTTAAAATAGATATTTTTCATAACCACTTTCATCTTCTATTTGATATTTTTCCATGAAAGCTAACCAAAAGAGAGTTTGTGAATGAATGTATTCAATATTTCAATTCCATGACACATATCTATAGTTGAGCTGAAATCTTAAACAAAAAATCTGTAAGTTACTTTACCCTAGTTAGGATTTTTTTTTTTTTAATTGAATTTGTATTATGAGACTAATTCTACCCGATTAAGCTTTATCCGATCTTTTCACTCAATTATAACTTTTATAAGCCTTTGGGCCTTTGTCTTCACACACACGCACACACACACACACAATCTATAAGTCTACCCCAGTTAGGATTTATTTTTTATTCAAACTCTATTATGAGACTAATTCTCTACCAGGTTAAGCTTTATCCGATCTTTTCACTCAATCATAATTTTTATAAGCCTTTGTGAATATATATATATGTTGAAAGTCAACCTGTTGATTGTGTTTATTTGGTTATTTTGTTTTCTTGTTATGTATTAGCTAATGTATCTTGTTTTTTATGAGTTTTTTATTTCTTAATTATTCTTTTCTTTTTATAAGAAGATTGAATTCCTAATTGTCAAATCTTTTTAATTTATTTTTATTTGTTCCTTTAAGAGAGATTCCTTTTCGGAATTGTCTCATCCTTGTAACCTATTTATTTATGTCTTCGTTATTCAATAAGAATATTACAAGCAGAAATAGAGTCTATGTTTCCTCCTTCAAGTCTTTATTTTCTACATGATATTAGAGCAAGTTTAATCATGTCGCTTTAATCTTCATCATCATCGAGCTTGTCCCACTTGTTATCTTTGGGTCTTCCAAATCTTGATACCCAAATACGGACTAATCTCCAGTATGGTTACTAAAAGTAATTCTTCCTCAACTTCTTTGGGCATCATTGTTCCTTCATTTCCTTTTGTTCACAATATGGAAGCCACCCATGTTCTTATTACCTCTCATAAATTAAATGGACAGAATTATGTTCCATTGTCTCAATCCCTCTTAATGTTTATTCGAGGGAAAGATACGACTACCTCACTAGTGATTCTGTAGCCCCAGAACCAACGACTTCTACCTACAAGAAGTGGTTGGCAGAAAACAACATGGTGATGTCATGGCTTGTCAACTCAATGAATATAGACATTGGAGAGAATTTTTCGGCGTTCGCAACTACTAAAGAGATCTGGGATACAGCTAAGGAGACTTACTTAGACATCTAGAACACTTCAAAGGTGGCAGAGATTGAAGAGATTCTTCATGATCTGTGACAAGAGATCTTACGGTAACTCAATATTTTAATATTCTTACTCGCAACTGGCGTCAACTTGATATGTATGAGATTCATAATTGGTCATGTACTACTGATGGATTATTGTACAAAAAGATTGTAGAAAAAAAAAAAACTTGTTTATAAGTTTTTGCTAGGTTTGAATAAAAATCTTGATGAGGTATGTGGGAGACTAGCTAATGGGAGCAAAGACATCACCTAGTCGGAAAGATGCTTTCTTTGAAGTCCGACGAGAAGAAAGTAGAAAGAAAGGTAATGCGAGAGTTCAGGGGATTTTGCTTTTTATAGAGAGTTTATGTGATTTTGGTTCGTGTACTGTTATCAATTGAAACTTTGTTTGTTGCAATTATATTTTTTTTTTTCTGAATTTAGGTTCTCAATATTGAATCGTTTTAGAAGTAATTACCTTAGAAGGCTATTTTTGAGGTGGGATTTATAAGTTCGTTCAATATATATATATGAACACATTCAAAGTATGATTTTTATTTTATATAAATATATCCTAATAATTTTAGCACAAAAATAATATACTAATTATATAAAAAAAATGTAATTTTCAAAAAATAAAAAAAGCGACAAAATGAAACAAAAAAAAACTAAAGTTTTGATAAAAAGTATTAAAAATATTTGTAGTGTTTCAGATTTTTTTTTTTTAAGATTTCCAGATTTTTTTTTTTTTTTTTTGAATTTTAAGAATTTTTTTATTTTTCAGATTTTTAGCTTCTTTTGTAATTTGTAATATATTATTTGATTGTTCAGTATTTCATAATTTTATTTTTTTAAATTTTCCTAATTTTTATAAAAATTTTATATTTTATTTTCAGATTTTTTTAGTCTTTTTTATAAACTTTCTAAAGTGAAAAAGGTAAGCATGGTGAGAGGATATCATTATCTTTTCTGAAACAATAAAGACCGTCTAAATGTTAAGAATTCTCTAGTTATGAACTTAACATACCAGATGATACGCTGCTCGAAACAATAAAATTACGCTCACGGTCAGATTGTTATTCTCTTTCCCTGTTCAGTTTCATGCAAAAATCAGTGCAAAGGTTCAATAGCGTCAATCCCAAAATTTCTGATGCAAATTCGTTTTTCATGATTTTTTTTTTTTTTTTTTTTTTCAAACTTGCATATTGAAGTATGAAATTCGATCTTAAGACCTTTTTACTATATTAAGAGATCCTATCAACTAAACTAGTTGGCACATAAGATTAGCGTAAACTCAGTTATACAAGAGAATCAAAGTTGCTTTAATGTTTTTACCATTTAGCAACAATCAGAATATAAATGATCACTTAATCATTTATAATTCCATAAAATTCGATAAAGGTGATTGATTACAAATTAGATTAATTTATCTTTAACAATGTTATTTCAATTTCGTTGGTTTACCCAGTAAAGCACCGGTACTGGTCTTGTGGCAGAATAGTACCCTACCATGGTACAAACGCCTTGAGTTAATATGAAAGAAATCCCAAATATTCGGGTGAGTTCATTATTATTTGGGTTAATATGAAAGAAATCCAAAATTTGTAAAATGTTGTTTGTTTTTCAATATTTGATATTTTTATTTTTCCTAACTTTTATAAAAAATTTAGTTTACATTTTCCCCAAT